GCCGGTCCCCGGGGGAGGGCCCTGCCCGGCCCCCCCCCTGCCAGTCTGGCTGTCCCCAAACAGGGATGTCCTTAGAGCGTGTTATCCCCGTGCTGGGTGTGCTGGGCAGGACCCTTGGGCACTGCTGGCACTGAGCTGGGGAGGCTGAGCTGCACCAAGATGTCCTGGATGTAATGGGTAGGGGCAGCTGGTGGCACTGGCAACACCTTGCTGGGGTTTTGGGAGGTGCTGGACACATGTCTGGGGCACAGTGTCCTGTGGGGGGCTGCGAGGCTGTTCATGAAGTAGTGCTGATGGCATCTTTGTGGGGCTTATGCCTCTCTGGGGCTGGGGGTGCATAGGGAGGGATGCACTGAGCCACGTGTCAACCACTGACTGTTGTACCGCCGTTGTTTTTAATGCCACAGGGAAACCCATGGGGCTGGCTGGGGTACAGGGGAGATGTGGTGGTAAGTGCCAACATCTGGCAAAGGGCTTGGTGTCTCTGAAGGCACCTTTGCGATCACTGCCCAGTGCTGCAGTGCAGGGCAGGGGCTGTGCGTGGTGTTGGCTGAGCGCCTGCCTCTGTCACTCACAGGCAGCCCCCAGAGCCGCTGGACCCCCCCAGGAGACCCGTGTGTGACCCTGGGAAGTTGCGGCTGTTTTACCCCCGGACTGGGCCCTCCCAGTCCCGCTCCTTCCGCAAACTGGCCCGGCTCACGGGCACAGACGGATGTAAGTTCCCTCAGGGCCCAGCGGTGATGGACTGCCTGGGGGTGCTGGACTTTGACAGGACAGGGAGTGCCTGGCAGAGGTTGTGGGGTGTTGTGGCACAGGGGTTTTGGCCCCATGTGGCCCCTCTGAGCCGGTGGGAGCTGCCCAGGGATCTGTGTGTGCTCATGGTGGTGCCGCTGGGTTGGGGCTGTGCTCTGCACCGTGCCCAGGTAGGGCTGTGTGTTGGGGCAGGAGGGCGGTGGGAGGAGAGGGCAGTTTTCCTGCCTTTCCTTCCTGCTGTGCCTCGTCCTTGATGGCCACAGACTGACTCTGTCTCTTCCTTTCTCTCCTGCTGCGCTCAGTGGAGGATCATGATGATGTGTTTGTTAAAAAGCCCAGGTAAGGGGAGCGTGCACCAGGGCAGCAGCAGGCTGCATATCCCAGCCACGACTTGCTGGGCACTGCTGGCACCAGCTGGAGATGCCAAGCTGTGCCATGATAATGCAGACACAGCAGGTCTAATGCAGCTTGTGGCACTGTTAAAACCTCGCTGGGGTGGTCGTGATGTCTGGGCAGTGCCTTTACATGGAGCATAATGTCCTGTGAGCCTGGCGTGGAGCTGTGGGGGTGGCTGGGCAGAGCTTGGTGAGTTTCACCTGCTTCTCCCTGTGTGAGGACAGAGGAGGGAGCCGGGGCTGTGCTGAGGGGTGCTGGGTGCTGTTCTTTGCCCTGTGCAGCCAGTCAGGGGTAGTGCACAGCACCCATTTTCTCTTCCCTTCTCTGTGATGCCTCCTGCCCTGGCGCTGTGACCACTGGATCCCAGCTGTGTCTGGTTTGCTCTGCTGCAAACAAGTGCTCCTGGTTTTGTAGCCGTCTCCTTGTCTTTGCCCTGGAGAGGCACAGAGCCACTGGCTCTCCCTCTGTCCTGTCTCCTCGCCTGGGGAGGTTGTGCCTGTCTGGCCCTGGCTTGCCCTGCCTGCTCCCCAGCCCAATGCTGGCAGCCTGCAGGGACACAGGCATTGTCCCGCCCGGGGGCAGCCTGGCCCTGTGTAGCTGGCAGGGATGGCAGAGCCCTGCCTGTCCCCAGCTATGCTAGAGCCAGACCCCCGTGCTCTCTACTCTGTGTCAGGTCCCAGTCCCTCTGCATCCTGATGGGGCTGGGGTTGACCGTCATGTGTGAGTGGGTAACCGGGGTCTGTGTGGTCCCTGGTCTGGAGCAGCCCAGAGCTGATGTGAGACCCCAGCAGGCTTGTGTTCTGTCCCACCACTCCCCAGACCATTGTGATGGGTGCCAGAGGCCCTGGGGGTGCTGTGCCTTCGCAGGGCTGAAGGTGCTTGGCTTTGTACCCCATCATCGCCAAACCAGCTGCCAGCTGGGCATATGGGCTTGGCTGGCTCCTGCCTGCTTGTTGGGGTGGGGGGCTGTGCTTGGTACACATAGGCCCATTGGGCTGTAGGGTTGAGTGGGGCAGGCTGGATTAACTGCTTGTTCTGTAGCCAGGTCTCTGTGCCGGACCCATCCCCGGAAGCAGGGATGAAGACTGAGGCAGGACTGGGTGAGCAAAATATTTCCTCTGGTCATGGGTTGACAGGGAT